GTTGTCTCTGTTGGCTACTGTTTGCTGTATTAGTACTGATGTATGTATTGTTGTATGCTGAAAAATAAGATGGATTGGGCTGAGAGTTGGAAAACAAAGAGGGAGTGGGTTTGGGAGTTGGTGGGCTGTACACTTGGGTATTGATTGAAGTGGGCTGCTGGAAAGTTTGTCAAGTAGACCCAAAATTGGTCTCAAATGGGTTTAGGTGGGGAAATAAATGGTTAAAATTGAAAAAAAAATGGCTAGGTTTTGAATTGAGGATTTGGCCATATAGATTGCAATTAAGTTCGATTGGATTTAAGAATTTAGTTACATCGAGCTTAATTGGTGATTCGACTAAAAAGCTAAATAAGACGAATTAATATAAATTAATTAATGAGCTTCTTAATCTTAACGAAAACAAAATAATTAACTTAATTATAAACTAATTAATTCAATTACAAAACTAATTAACTCGAAATTACAACTATAACTTAAAGTAAAATAAAATATTTAAATAAAATGTAAAATCCTCTGTGATGATTTTCAAATATTTATAAAATAGCGTGATTGCAAGAATATACATATTTATTATTAAAAATGATAAAATTACTTTAAAAATAACTTGAAAGTATTTTGAATTTCATAAAACTCATTAATTCAAAATTATAACCATCCCTAATATTTAAAATATAAAATCCCCCCCCCCCCCCCTTTTTTTTTTAAGACGATTTTCGAATAATAATAAAATATACTAATTGTATACATATTTATGTAAAACATATATATCATCTAAAAATTATGAGAAGTGACAAAACTATTTAAAAATCTCGCAAACTATATTATTATTATTATTATTATTATTATTTATTCATTTATTTATTTATTATTATTATTATTTTATTTTTTTTGGAAATTCTATAAAACTAATTATTTTAAATCGTTTGAAATTGGAGAAGCTCGAAATGATTAATTTATATTGTGGAGGGTCAAAATTGGGTGTCAACGACATCCCTTAAAACACTCACTTTGATCTCAAGAAATCATCCAAAACCCAACACGACAAGATTTAGAATGAACTTCAAGAACACCTATCAAGAACTCAAATCTTTCAACTTCAAGATTGAAATTTGCGCTGAAAATAACATGTTTGGCGTGTGGGTGAACAAACCCAACACTATGGAAGCTTACATACCTCTTAGGGATCAAACCCATGGCGAAAATCCGCTACAACACGCAAGAATCTCGACGAACGCTTGATCCTCTCCTCTTTTCTCTTCTTCTCTCTTCTTCTTTTCTCTTCTTGAACTCTCAACTAAAACCCTAGGCGTAAACTAGGATTATAAAACTGAACCTAATCAGATTATACCCCTAAAATATTACTAAAAACGAATTAAATCTGATTGGATAAGGAAAAGACCAAAATACCCCTCTAAAACCCGGTTTTGACTTTCCTTAACTGGACAGCCTAACTTCAAAAGGTCATATCTCACTCATCTGACCTCGAAACTTAGCAAACTCGGCGGCATTGGAAAGATAATTCAAAGGTATTTCCTACGGTATCTGGTATCACACCTAACTCATCTTGAGCTGGAAGTTATGGTTGTTTGAAGTCAACCCAAAACTCATACTTAGCTTAACTTGCAAAATTTCAGATTTTGCTATTACCAATTTAATTCTTTTTCGAACTCAAGGTGCTACATCTAGCGACCTTAACACTTAAGAAATTTTTAATTCCTTGGTAAAATCTCACTCACTACAAAGAACGGTTCGAGTCTTAGTTCGAAAATTTTCTGGGGTGTTACATTCTACTTTTTAATTTAAACGACCTTTTAAACCACCTTATATATATATATATATATATATATATATATAAATTATGAAATTTTATTTAATTGGTATTTCACAAAAAGTTGAAGCAAAGGATACTCCCGTTTGTTGTTGTGACAAAGATCCCAATATTTGTAAATCTCTTTGTGGCTTTATCGATGTCTATTTCTGCAGCGGTGTTTATTGTGAATGCGAGAATAGTAAACCACCTGCACAAACTAATGGAACTACAAATTGAAGAGTTCAAATTTCTTGGGACAAAAATAGAAATGAAATTCAGTTCTGGTTTCTATGTAACTTACAACAAGGCATTAGCCAAATAAAAACGCATTCTCAATATATGTTATTCCTTCTATCTTTAAATTAAGTGAATTTTATTACGTTTTCCCTTTATGGAATCCTTAGTGTCAAGTGATTACGATAAAGTATTAATAGTTAAATTTAAATTCTTAAAGTAAATAAAATATTTATATTTAATAAAAGAATTGTGTAAAATAAAACGAAGAAAGTAATAAAATTCTCCACCAAATAAACAAAATTTCCAACGAAAAAGAATTTATTGAAAGCAAATCAATTAGGAGCTTTTTTCAAAACAGCCACGTGGATATCAATGAAAAAGCAACAAAATATGGAGTTGCAATCTAAAAAATAAAAATAATCGGGAGAAATTTAATTGAAATTATTTATTTCAGCTCATATAAATAAGACCAAATAGAATATTTGACAATTTAAATTGAACATGACAAAAATATATAGTACTTATAACTTTATAATGTGTGTTATAATATATTATATATTATAAAAGAGAATCTTAGGCCCGCCTACATGGCGCCACCACAAATCAGAATTCCTTTTTAATTTATTTATTCACAAAATTAGTCTTACCTTTCATGAAAAATTGTGACTTTTATGAAAAATTGCGATTTTAATGAAGAGTTGTGACTTTTATGAAAAGTTGTGACTTTAGTGAAGAGTTGCGACTTTTATAAAAAGTTATGACTTCTATGAAAGGTTGTGACCTTTTCGAAGGGTTGCAACTTTTCAAAATAGTTGTAACCTTTCTGATAAGGCACAATAAACATTTGTTCACACTACCGTTTGTTGTTTATAAATAGAGGGATTTCCTTTCATTTTAACACAACGAAAATTCTAAACCTCCTCCTCTTTTCTTCACAATTAAATATTTGTATATTTTGCTCATGTTGAGTGGCTCACTGACACTATTGCTTATGTTACAGATCCTGATATGTATTTTTACAATCATTAATTTATAATTTATGCTTATGATAAGATGCAATAATTTTCATTTTCCTTTACATTATTAATGTTTGTTACTACGTAATCTTGTATGTAAGATGATATAGTGTTTTAGTTTTAATACCTGATAGGTTTTAAGTATTATTTTATAAATTCTGTGATATTAAATTCTCAATTTTACTAGTATTATTAGAAGAGTGAATGAGAAGCTGAGGGTCCGTGGTCAATTGATTGATTTGTTCTTCTGCTTCAATTTTCTCTAGGGAAAAGGATAAAAAATGTTTTTAAATTATGCAAAAGGAATAAAAATGCCCTTCGTTTGTAGTTTGGTTCAAAAATATTCTGTCGTCAATATTTTGATCCAAAAATGTCCTTATCATTATTTAATGGGTATATTATGTATTTATTTTTTAACACATTCTTTTTTCTAATAATATTTTTCTAAATAAGGAAATATTTATCTTACTTCAATTCAGAAAAAAATAAAAAATAAAAAATGAAAAATGAAAAATATTTCTTATTTTTTATCGGTATATAAATACAAATTAATGATGGATATATTATGATATTTTATATATGCCATATATTATATGTCGAAAGGGTATATAGAATTATTCTATTTTAATTGATAAAATGAGATTAAGAAGAAGAAAATTATTTCCTACATTTTTATTTGTTAAATGATTTTAAAAGAAAGAAAACAAGAACATAGTTCTTTAATAATATTTTAATTAGGAAGAAGATGTGTTTAAAAAGGAAAAATAATTTTATTCAAAATGACATTTTTACCCATTTAGTAACTATAACGGCATTTATGGACCAAAGTATTGACTGTAAGGACATTTTTGAACCAAAGTATTAACGGTAAGGACATTTTTGGATCAAACTACTAGTTTAAGGGCATTTTTGTTCTTTTCACATAGTTTAAGAGCATTTTTTATCCTTTTTCCTTTTCTCTATTTATATTTAGTATTTTCTATATTTCAATTTACTTGTCTTATTTTTCCTTTTAGTATGTTCTGTATTTAAAAATTACGAAAAAATAGTGCAATATATCAATATAATTAACAAGTTAAAATATTTAAATTTTTTTTATCTTAATTACTTTTATTTTTAATATTTATATATTTTAAAATTATAAAAAATATATACATTATAAATCATAACAATTAATGACCTGAGATATTAATAAAAAACATATTAAGAATGTGAGAATAATAAGTGAAAAGGAAACATAACTTATCCAATATCCAAGAAACTACCTATACATTTATAAGAATGAAAAACATGTTTTCCAAAGATTATCTAACATGAAATAATTGAACACTTAGCAAACATATCCTGAGAGGACTGGAGATCTCCAGGTTGTTGTCAACATTAAAAGATTGCTGCCTAAGCTGACCTCTTTCCAATTGATGCATATAATGAAACTTTCGAGTTTGTTTGGATTGGTTTATTTTAAGTGTTTTTAAGTTAAAATAATTTTAAGGGAAAAGATACAAGTACCTCCTATACTATTATGACTGAAACTTCAGAGACACATTTTAACTAAACTAAGGTTCAATTACCCCGAGCCCATTTTTTTTGTAATTTTGTACATCTTTTTTGCTTACGTGGCATCCAAAAATTTCCCACGCGTCTCAATTGCATGGAGTCATGGAGTGTGCCACGTAAGCCAAAAGGTGTACAAAATGACAAAAAAAATGTGTTCAGGGGTAATAGGACCTTAATTTAATTAAAGTGTGTCTCTGAAATTTTAGTTATACTCTAAGGAGATACTTGTGTCTTATCCCTAATTTTAAAGTACACTGTTGAAGTGTTTGGGTAGATTGAGAAAGTTTTTATAAACACTTGATTTTAAGATGCGACTCAGATACGGAAAGAGAAACAGAGACTTACGCAAGTCCTGAATTATGCTTCCACCTACTTTAACTTTAGGAATATGAGAAATGTTGGACCACTGGGCCACTCCGATTGTTGCAACTTTCTTCTAACTTTGGGCGGCCTTCAATTCTCAGGCTCTGTAATTTAGTGAGGCGTCGCATGTCATCTCTGGAGGGCAAATGCTCTAGTTTTTCACAGTTTCGTAAACTTAACTCTTGCAAAGAAACAAGGTTGCCGAGCCCATCCGACAGAGCTTCTAACAATGGACAATCATAGATCTCCACATACCATAATTTGGGCATGGCATCTGAAAAGTCCACATGTTGCAGCCGTTTGCACCTCAGTAGATGAAATATTTCAAGAGAAGTAAGTTTGTCAAGTCTATGAGGAAAAACCTCGATTTTTTTTTTAAAATCGTATTTAATATTTTTCTTATGAAAAACCTATATCTATTATTGCTAAAATAAATGAGGCCCTTCAAATTTTTGGAAGCCTAAAGTAGTTGCCTTTTTCCTAAAGGGGCAGAGCATCACCTGACAATGGTGCACACGTCTTCTTGAAATCCTAAATTCGCCTCTGGATATAGTATAAGATAAGTACTGTAAAACGAATTTGGTTAGAGCCATTGCATAAACTTTCTATACAATTGAGCAATAAATTAATTATAATGTAAAGTGAATTTGGTTATAGCTACACAGCGGCTCCTTGTTCACATTTTTCAATACATTCTTTTTGTTCATCTCTTTTGAATTCCAAAAAGAAGCTCAACGATGTTATATGAAAAGGTGATGAGGATTTCTCGAACCATATATATTATAACACCAGCGGACTGCAGTTGGTATTGGAGAAAGTTAATGCATGAATGTCATCAAAATGATACATACTGCCTCAACTCCGAATGGTAAGTACTCCTTTTTCCAGTAGTTATAAATGCTTTAATAGTACGCTCACCAAAGTTGATGACATCTCACCTAGTGAGGAGTTGTGTTTCAGTACCAAGACACAGCACATGAATTTGCAACAAGCAGTTGATTTATCATGAAATACTTAAAATATGCAGGCTGGGAATTGGAATTACAGACGTAATAGGGCACTCTTTGCTGTAAGATTCAAGACATATCAGTCTTTTGAAATTTTCTTTTTGTTAAAGTCCTTCAATCGCAAAAGTTTTAATGAACGGAGAAAGTATCATGTGAAGTGAAAGTAACGAGAAGTGTGACTATTAAGAAACTTACTAGACCTCTACCATATATCAGACTTGGAATTGTTCCTTGAGAGTTTTCAATTTACTAAGATTTAGAACTTACTTTAAAATCTCAAATAATATACAATCAGAGTCTCCAAAAACACCACTGATGGATACAAATTGAATAGAAGTCAAATTTCAGTCAGTTTTTTCCTCTCTACATTTCACCTCCTCTTATGCAAGAGAAACTGTAATATACCTGATATGAAGAGCTAATGTTATGCCAATAGAAGACTTGTTTATACTTGAAGAGAATGAGTAGTTATGCTATTCAAGAACCATACCACTTAACAACTTCCATTATACTCTGTAATGAAGAGTACTACATTCGAGGATTAAGTGATAAACTCTTTATTGAAGGATACTCGTGCAAAACAAACAAAACGTTTGAATAATTTGAGATATATTGGCAACGGACTAACTTTACATAGGTACGTGAGCAATAAAAAAAAAACAAGGAATGTAGGAGATTAACAATATGTTGGTTCAAATAAGCAAAATAGAGAATCGTTGAACCTAATGGACAGATACGCCTCAAACAGGTCAACCCGTTGAAGTCCTTCTCAAAGGAGACTGATACAATAGCATCCCTGTTTAACAGTACAACAATTTCATGAGAATAATACATTGTGCTTGAGCATATTTCTACCCAAGTTTAACACTTTGCTGGTACGGGAGTAATAAAGGTGCACATATATTGTGGTTTAGCTGCAACTCATGAACAAAACAAATGTGGTGGTGGAACATAAAATTGTGTCATGAGAAAAGAGTAGTGCAAAAAAACACATTCATCTAACAAGTCTAAATGAAAATTTACCTAAGGTAATTGTCTGCCGCTCATGGATTTTGACTTGGTTTACCACAACTACGTTCTAGCATGACCTTGGAACTAGTAATCTATAAGGGAAAAAAAATTCATGAATAAATCATATCTTAAAAGTAATATAGAAGAACAACAACAATTTGATTCAAGTGGACTAGCAGAAAGCTGAAAGCATAGATAAGATGCAATTGACTAATAATTTTGCATTTTATTATATCAAAATAATTGCAGGAAATAGTATTAAATTACATACAGAACTTCTTTTCTAGTACTTGTTGAAAATAATAAATAAAAATTTGGAAAGAGAAATAGAGACTTATGCAAGTCCTGAATTATGCTTCCACCTACTTTAACTTTTGGAATTTGGGAAATGTTGGACCATTGGGAGTTTGGGCCTCTCCGATTGTTGCAACTCTCTTCTAACTTTGGGCAGCCTTTAATTTTCAGGTACCATAATTTAGTGAGGTGTCGAATGGCATCTCTAGATGGCAAATGCTCTAGTTTTTCGCAGTTACATAAACTCAACTCTTCCAAAAAAACAAGGTTGCCAAGCGCATCTGACACAACTTCTAAAAATGGACAATCACGGATCTCCACATACCGTAATTTGAGAATGACATCTGAGAAGTCCAGATGTTGTAGCCGTTTGCAGCTCTCTAGACGTAATGCTTCAAGAGCAGTAAGGTTCTCAAGTCTATGAGGAAGATCCTCGATTCCGAAATCACATATATGGATATGTGTTAGGGAAGAGATCTGCATAAGCTGATGGGGCAGAGAATCCCAACGCGTACGTCCGTACACATCCAATCTACGAAGGGACGATAGCTGCTGAATGCCATTAAAAATCAATTGGAATTCCTCAAAATCCACCATCTCTGAGAAAGGACCAATATGCAATATCCTTAACCTGGTGAGACGATGAAGGCCCCCTGCGGGTACACTAATGAATTTGGGACAATCTGATAAATCCAAACATAAAAGTGAAGGCATTTCCCACACGTGTAAAGGCAAGGAGAGTAAGTTGTTACAGCACATGAACACCAAAGATTCCAGAGACCGACAATGCTCTAGCATTCCTCAATCCATAACAATAATATAACTCAAGACTTTGGAGGGAAGTCAAATAATTCTCTCCACTGGGAACAGGGAAAGCACTGAAATTGGGGCACAAGTGTATTTGTAAGCTCTTAAGAGAATGGAGATTGCACAAGCTTTGTGGCAATTCACGAAAGTCTCTGCAGGCTGAGACCGTTAGGTTTTGAAGAGAAACGTTGTTGCGTAGCATCTCATCAGGAAAACAAGTGAGCTCATTCCCAGCATGGACACTAAGATCTACGAGAGATGTCAAGTTGCTGCACAAGTTCAACAATGGCATTTTACAGCGGTTCACCATTTAAGGAGCAAATGACATAAATGGTCCCTAAACTATCCTAGTAGGTTTAAAATAGTCCCTTAACTATACAGTTGACGGATATGGTCCTTTAACTATCCACCCTTTTGTCAAGTTTGGTTTCCATCCACTTTTTAAAAAAACTGTTAGTTAACACTGTTAAGTCAATTGATTTAGGAGCATATCCAATTGATCATAAGCAAAATAACCACACGAAAAGCATAAAGTTGTAAATGCCCATGGCCATGTATGTTCAACAAGTTGTGAATGTTCAAACATCTGATTTACATTTACCCCATTTGAAATCATCGACTCATTGACCAAAATGAAGCACTGAAGCAGATGTAGTGGATGAATGCAGAAGAGATACACAAGTGTTGACAAATAGGGGATCGCGGTTTCGCAACAATTTGGGGATGCTCATATATCTTATCTATTTGATCCGTTGGTGACTCACATCCAAAGTATCGAACTTGAGAAAGTTTTTCTCCATTGTCGCCCTTCGGATCAAATAGTCTAGATTTTAAGATATCTCCAGCCAAATCATGCACAAGATCGTGCATCTTACAGTGTGTTATATTGTTGTGTTCATCTAACACAACATCTTGTAGCAAGGAATTCTGCAACAAGATTTGAAAAAACCTGTGCCCAACGTCTTCCATCACAGGGATCTCTTGACTTGGACGAAGAAACCCTTCTGCCATCCAGAGTTGGATTAGTTGGTCCTTTTCAAACATATAATCTTTTGGAAACATTGCAAAATAAGCAAAGCATTTTTTCAGATGTGGAGATGGTAGATAATCATAGCTGAGTTTTAGGATTTTCTTTATGCTATTGTCTCCATTATCATCATCACCTGCAACAAGGAGGTTGCCATCAAGAATTGCTTGCCATTCATGTTTTTCTTTGTTGTGTAAGAGCCCTCCCAACGCACTTGCAGCCAACGGTAGACCTTGGCACATTTTAGCAATCTTGTTGCCCATGCTCGCTAATTCCTCTGGAACCCTGCCATCAACAAATGCTTTTTGTTTGAAAATAGACCAACAATGATCTTCTGTTAACTTCCCCAAGATATGAAGATCTGTTGCTACTGTGGATGCCACCCGCTTCATACGAGTAGTCACAAGAATGCAGTTTCCTCTGGATGTATTTATTCCTCTCAAGGTGTCCACGAACTCATGCCACGATGTAGAGTCAACACACCACAAATCATCCAGGACTAGCAAATATTTTTTTCCTCCCAATTCATCTTGTAGCTTCTTGACTATTATATCTCTCCTTTCAACCTCAATTTTCCTCTCTATCAACGATTCGAGGATTTGTTCAAGAAAGCTCTTCGTTTCAGACATTTCAGGTATACACAACCAAATTCTCTTTTTAAAGATTTCATTGATGTGTTCATCATTGTAAATCCTCTTAGCCACAGTTGTTTTCCCTAAACCTCCCATACCTACTATGGGAATGGTGGACAGAACAACATCCTCCTCTCTCATGTTCAAAATCTTCTCCTTTATCTCAGAAACATCCAAATCTCTACCAACAACATCTGAAGCAACTACTAAGGAATCTGTTTCTCGAATTGGTAGTATTTTCCGAGAAGGTACCATGAGTGATTGTAGACCGAGGTCTTTGGCTACCTTATTGATAGCCGTCAACTCTTTATTTATGTTGTTGATATTTTGAGACATTTTTCTCTTAAAAGCAGAATGAGAAAAGAAACCACTGACCTTTTTCAATGGGCTCCTCACCACTTTTGTTTTGAGAGATTCATATCTGAATCGATCAAACACATTTTCAGCATCTTCAGCAACTCTCTCAAGCCTGTTGAGCCATTGTTCGATAGACTGTTGTTTCTCAACTTGTGGTGTTTTAACATCATGAATGAAAGCTTGGATTAAGGATACTGTTAAATTAGGTCTTAGGCCTAACTCACACCCCAAAAGCTAGCTCAAAGGGAGGAGGATTGCCCAAACCTTATAAGGAGTCCACCCATCTCATTAACCACCGATGTGAGACTTTTGTCATTCTTTAACACCCCACCTCACGCCCAGTGCTTAGTATCTGGTGCGTGGGCAATTTTGATTTTGGGGGTCCCAACATCGGGTGAGACGGGCCCTGCTCTGATACCATGTTAGATTTCATACTTAGCTTGTAAGCTCAAGCTACATTAATGGCGGAAGCATTTTGAGAGAAGATAGAAGAGAGAAATTTATTTCATACTGAACTAAAACTATGAAGACACATACAAGTATTTATAGTGTGATTAACTGATCATCACAGCTGGACACTTTAGCATTATAGTTAGTTACTAGTCTAACCAACTTTCTACTTCCACTAACTACAGCTAACAACTAATTAACATAGAAGTGTCAGCTTAACTAACTAGCTTCAATAGATACATTTTGTGTCAACATTTCGAGATCTTTGTTGAAATCCCTTGAGCTGTTGACCTCCTCGATAGTGAGAGAAATCAACTTTTCAAGCAAAACTTGAACAGTAGCACCAATTACAGCATCGGCCATAGTTGTGTTTGCTTCCTCTTCCTCTGCAATCTGCACCAAAGTCTTCTTCCTGAGCTGTTTGCAACAAAGTCTTCTCAAAGTAAGTCTTCGTTTGGTAGTTGTTTGTAGAGTACTCAAAGGAAGACAATAATTCATATACAATCATTCAAACAGTAATAAAAAAAAAAATACATGTGGATGAAACCAAGTTTGAGTTTCTTTTTCCTTTTATATTAATTTATTTAAGTAGTTTTTTGTTTTATTTGTACAAGTAGTTCTATTTTACATTTTTACTAGAGAACTTATCTGCGTTTCGCGCGTATGAATTTTTGATATTAAATTTCTTCTTAAATCTTTTAAATTTTAATCAATTATATTATTAGTAAAGTTTCTATGATTTTTTAGCACTTAAAAATTCAGAGCCTTTCCATAAAAGTTGTATAATATTCTAATCAATTATATTATTAGTACATTTTCTATGATTTTTCAGCACTTGAAAATTCAGAGCCTCTCTATAAAACTTGTATAATGTATAATCTATATAAGTGAAATGATATTTTTATATTTGTTAAAAGAATGTAAAGAAAGGATAGAAGTTCAAGAAAAATCAAATTCTTTCTTCAAGTATATGTATTACTAAATTTTAAAACATGAATATTTATTTTTAATCTTTTAACTTAATCTCCTCAAATACTTTCCGACATAATTACTCATTATCTTTTGAAAATTGTCCAATCATATTCCCTTTTCATCTTCTAACTTCACAATAATAAAGATAAATAACCAAAATATATTTTCAAAGTCTCAACATAAAATATAAGAAAAGCTATTACAGAAATCACGCATAAAAACATGTTATAAAATATGAAGAAGTATAAACATTATTACCCATTAATTATCCCATTTAATTTGAGAATATGCAAGTAATTAATATAGTCAGGAATAGGAAAAACAAATCATTAGTACGGTGTTACTATTAAAATCAGTAAAACATTATAATTTTTTTTTTTTAATATTAGAATCGTAATACAGAATTTTAAAAACGGCTCTTACACATATAAATGATTAAAAATAATCATATTTATGATGGGGAATGCAACTCTAGGTGCAATCCATTTATAAAATGAACTTTTGATGTTTGATAAAGAGAATTCATGAAAGAATTAAAATAATAAATAATTGTATTATTTTTATGTTCTTAATTATTAAAATATTTTTTAAAATGAAATTAATATACAATTTTTTGAGCTTTTATTGATATCCATTTTCACAAGCCATAGCCATCATTCAATAGCCTTCATCTTCTTTCAAGTCAATCCAAAGCATCAAACATAATAAGCATTGAAAACGTGAATACTTAAAATACATCGATATAGATAGATTGTAAAGAAATTAAATAATAAAGAGAGAAGATATTAAAAAAATGTTGTCATTTTACGATTAGAAGAAGGTAAAAAAAGAGATATAAATAAAAATAAATTTATTAAAATTGAAAATTAGAGAGGTGTGAGTTATAGATAGTTACTCTTTGTTAATTGGCATATGAAGAGTTTTTGTTGTAATTGTTCCTCTATTAATAAAATATTTATTTACAAAAAATTAATCAATTTACTTTTACAATAAAATAATTGATTTAAATAAGAAAAATAGGAAAAAAAAATATATGAATGGAGGCCATAGAGAGGTGTCACATCACCTTCTCTATGTTTCTCCTTTATATATATATATATATATATATATATATATATATATATACTAGACATCGGAGCCCGTGCTAGCGCGGGCCCAATATGTATCATTTTTTGTTTCAATTTATGTGACAAAGACAAAATTAAAGAGTTAATCAAACTTTAATATTAATTTAAAATAGTTTAAATTTTTAATTATTGTTAGCTATGGTAAAAATTTTTTTATGTCTTTTAACATTCTAAATTGCTAATTATTGTTGTATGATTTGTAATATCTTTTACGCAATTTTGAAATAATAAAGGTTATTTCTTCTTTCTCAATTTATGTGGTACTAATAAAATTTCGAGATTCAATCAATTTTTTTGTCTTTAAAATATTCTATTGTTAATTACTGTAAATCTTGTACTTTCTAAGTAATTTTCAAATAATATATATTATTTCATTTGTCCAATTTATGTGTCACCGATAAAATTTGAAGAGTTAATCAGATCTTTTACATATTTATATATCTTTCGAATATTTAAGTAAATAATTATTGTGATTTATAATATTTTATACAATTATTTTAAAAAAAATTAAACAACAAACAAAACGAATTCATCATAGGAAAATTACCAAAGCATCCTTGAATACATCAATAATAGGTCCCACTTTTTGTTTAAAAAATATGCATATTGGGAGGATATTTTTGTCCAAAGTGAAAATAGAATAAGTATAAAGCATTAAAGTCTTTTAAAGTTTTAAATTGTTAATTCTTATTGTATGATTTGTAATATTTTTACGTCATTTTCAAATAATAGAGGTTATTTCTTCTTTCTCAATTTATGTAGTACTAAAAGATATTTTGAGATTCAATCAAATTTTTTTGTCTTTGAAATATTTCTAGCTGTTAATTACTGTAATTTATAGTACTTTCTAAGAAATTTTCAAATAATATATATTATTTCATTTGTCCCAATTTATGTGTCACCGGTAAAATTTGAAGAGTCAATAAGATCTTTTATATATTTTTATATCTTTTAAATATTTAAGTAATTAATTATCGTGATTCATAATATTTTATACAATTATTTAGTATAGTAAAATAAATTTAAAAGAAACAAACAAGACGAATTCATCATAGGAAATGACCAAAGCATCCTTCAATACATCAATAATGGGTCCGACTTTTTGTTTTTAAGAAATTGCACATTCGAAGGATATTTTTGTCCAAAATGAAAATATTGTGTAAAAAATGTGTATTTATTGTGATTTTGAATGTTTTGTGGGGTAATAGGACGCACGCAAAGTTAAGGTGTCTTTTTGAAAATCTGGGACAACTTCAAGTATGACTTAATATTTTTTCTCAAAATCTAATTTACTTTCGTAAACTATGTGTCATATCAAAATCATATTAACAAATTCAAAAGGAATGAGCAATAAATAGCTCATACAATGACATATTTATTATTTAACTAAATAATAAATATGTAACTAAAAATCTTGTTAGCTTTTGGTTGAAAGCTAACAAGATAGTTACAATGTAACTAAATACTTTATATATATTTGCATTGTGGCTTATTATATATAGATAGATATATATATATATGATTTGTACAAGTAGTTTTATTTTATTTGTTTGAGTAATTTTTTTAATTTTATATATGGAAAAAAAAGTCCAGTACAATCATGTATTCTCTTCCACTTGTTGTAACATTAGTGGATTTCTTTCAACGTAGAGACAAAACCCAGCAAAAGAACATCTACTCACAAAAGATGATGAAGAAGAGGGAATGAAAGGGACAAATCTCCTCTCTTCCTGATGCGTGTACTGCACTCTTTCTTTTATTTTAAAAAAATTTCACATAACACTTTGCAAGGATAAAACATTCAACCTTGACATATTAAATAAATTATTAATATTAGTTAAAGTTAAACATTAAAGAATCACTATCCTAGAAAAATAATAAAATTTAAACTGTTTTTTTTTTTTTCGCACTCCATCAATTCCTCTCACCGTACTCCCCCTGTCAATTTTTTAGATTTTTTTTAAAAAAAAAAAATCTTTTACAAAAGATTTTTAAAAAAATTTACACACATACATATATATATATATATATATATATATGTGTGTGTGTGCGTGTGCGCGCCCGCGCATATCTAACATAAAACAAGAATAATGTAAAATAAATAAGTAAATTAGGAGCAAAGGATTAGACGGGGTGTGGTAGAATTTTATTTTTAATTTTAAAAAAAAATGACATAAATTTTTTTTTAGAAAAGAGTGACTGGTGGGTGGGGGTGGAGGAGGGGGTGAAGTATGATTTTTTAAAAGAAATTTTAAAAAATTAAAGGACTCTAGGAAGGGGGGAAGGGGGGGGGGGGGAGAGGAGGGAGGAGGAGGTGGTGGAGTAGGGTGAAAAAGTATTTTTAAATTTTATTTTTTTAAAAAATAATTTCTATTTTTGGGGATAGTAATACTTTAATTTTTTATTATATTAATAGTTTATTTATTTTTTGTCATGGTGAAATATTTTACCCATGTAGCAAAGTTTTTTCAAATACACACATCATTGGGGTGTGTTTTTCAAACTAATAAGTGATAGTTTAGCTATAAAACTCACTCACAATAGTTTAGGAATGAAACACAATAAAAGGAGATAATTTAAGTGTGTTTTTTACACTTATCTCAATTACTAGTTTCTGGATGTCCCATGCAAAATTTTATAAATTCGTTAGTACGATTAAAATTCAATGAAAACTTGTATGTAATAAGTACTACAATGCAACAATCTCAAATAAATGTTATGATGATAATTTTTTTTATAGAAAATTAATAGAGAAAAAATATAAGAAATAAACATAGAAGAAGAAAAATAGCATACGCATCCTTCATAAGACTTTAAGCATAACAATATATAAATGGAAAAAGAAATACAAAACCGGTACATAATTTTCGGAGTTTTTGTCGACATCTTCTCTCATATCCAATCAAATTTAAAAGTCTTCTCCATCGACTCAAACTAAAGCACGAATCAAATAGAAAACTCACTTCATTTTCGTAAAGTGTATATAATCAGACTAAGGTATTAGATATATCATATACTTTAGATGTTGATGGCTTCACTACTTTAACTATAAAATGAAAAGGATAGTTTTGAATGTGAGTTTCATGAAACTGAAAAAAATAAATCTATATAGATAAAAATAGAGGACTATCAAAAGACAATCTTAAAGTTTTAAACTAAATTTTTTAAGGTTATGAATATGAAAAACATGAAAATTATGGATATTAAGCATGACAATTGAATAGGTAATTAGATATAAGTTATGGAGACAAATATTTAAAACACATAAAGAAGAAAAATAATTAAAAATTGTAGATAAGAAAAAGAAGTGCAAATAATATTTAAGTGAAACACCACTAATAGTGGAATTTCAAAGGGCCAAAATAGATAAAGAGAACAACTTTAAGAATATTAAATATA